ATCATTTTTTGTTGTTATTCTATTACAGTTGTCCCAGTTTCCACCACTTTGCCTTCCTCCACCCAGCCTAACCCCCTGCTACCACAGTCAATCCCCACATCATTGTCCATGTCCATAGGTCATTCATACATGTTCTTTGTCCAGTCCCTTCCCCTTCTTTCCACCACTATCCCCCTTCACTGCCATTCACTTTGAGTCTATGTTTACATGCCTATGGTTGTGTTTTGTTTATTAGTTTATTTTTTGTTCATTAGATTCCTCTTATAGGTGAGATCATATGGTATTTGTCTTTTACTGACTAGCTTATTTCACTTAGCATAATGCTGGGAATATACCCTAAGAATTCCAAATCACCAGTTCAAAAGAACTGATATACCCAATGTTCATAGCAGCACTATTTACAATAACCAAGTGGTGGAAGCAACCTAAGTGCCCATCAGTAAATGAGTGGATCAAAAAACTGTGGTATGTTTACACAATGGAATACTATATAGCAGAAAGAAAGAAGGAATGCCCATTCTGTTTTTAAAGATGGTAGTTCACGCTTTGCTTAGTTTTAAGTAATTATGGAATATTATAATAGAACATGGTAGTAGTAGTCATAAGACAAATAGAAATATTGGTGAAAAAATATACATGTGAAATAAATCCAGTATTTTAATAAAATAAAAAATGGACTCTGCATGAAATATGTGGTATTCTTTTACATATAAATGATATGATGGCCCATAATTCATTCTTTCAAGGAGGACTTTACATGTTGTGCCATGCATGTGCTCAGTGCTGGGCATGCTGAATTTGGGGGGAAAATGACATCAATTCTTGACTCAAGGAACGCATGGTTCCATAGATGTGTATTCTGAACAGTTTTTAACAACATGGACAAGATCAATGCATTGAATTGTCTGTCTTCTCTGGTATAATATTTTGACTAGTGTTATGGCCTTGTAAAATTGCTCACTGGCAAAACTATAGCTTTGGTCAAAAAATGGGACATGGCCAGAGAAGAGAGATATTCTGTGGTCAACAGAAAGAATTATGTTTAGGCTTATAAAGCATCCCAATGCTCAACTTCAACTACATTATGTTTATAACTTTCTGAAGACAGGTACAATAAAGAAAGGAAAAATAAGTTTTTATATCTTAAATTTTTATTTCTCTTTCAATTATATTTTTTCCATTTCTGTTTGTCTCCTTTATACCCTCTCCCACTTCCACCCACCCTCACCCCACCCCCTATAACCACCACACTGTCGTCCGTGTCCATGGGTCCTTTTTTCTTTTTGTACCCCATAGTACAGCACCCACTCTTAAGCTGTCAACCTGCTCACTCTCTGAGTCGGTTCCTATTTTGCTTGTTAGCTCATTTTGTTCATTAGATTCCACATATGGGTGAAATTATATGGTATTTGTATTACTCTGACTGGCTTATTTCATTTAGCATAATGTTCTATGGTAAGTAAAAATCTTGTATTGATGGAAGTGTCAAGTTGGATCTTCTTGAGGGAAATAGTATCTGAATCATAAAAATGTTTCTCTTGCCATCATTTAACTTAGAAGTAGTGTACGTTGGTAAAAAATTTTACAAGCAACAACAGTGTCTAGCCAACCTGGAAAATTACTGAGTGTTAAAATGGCTTGCATGAGACTAGATAGTAGTTTGGAGGTAGGCCTGGTTCTGTATGTCTTACAGGACCCCTTTTGTCCTGACCTTGTCCACTATTTTGTCCTTATGGAGGACAGATGTGTGATAGATCAGTCCATATGAAAACAATAATCTAAATGTTACTCATCATTTTCAGAAACACAGAGATTCTATACCTTGCAAAATCAACTTGTGTAAAGATACTTCAATTTACTATTTAACTCTTGAAAATTCCTGTACTCCTATTTCTATATTTTCCTAGTTTTATGTACCATTTCCATGTTTGTACACATATATGCATATGCATTTGTATATGTAAATCATGTTTAATTTTGTGTTGAATTCTAAGTGAATCATAAGGATTCTTAATTTTTTTGCCAATGGGTATAAAATGGAAGGTCATAAAACCTAGTTCTTTTAGGAAAATTATTATTAAAATATTATTAAATATCTTGAATATATTATAGGTTATTTTGCATTCATAATTAATACATTCTAAACACAAAATGCTTTTTAAAAATAGTGGCTGTTGTCTGTTCTCCTCTTCAATAACTGTATTTGTTTAGTTTAGGCCATAATAATGTAGAGTAACTATGCATCACTCTATACCAACAGCCTCCTAGTCTATAATATACCATGTTTCTACCCATGCCAAAATTTCACTATAGAACACCTAATGTGATCTTTCTACAACATAAAATCAATTACCACTTATCATTTTTTTAAAAAGCAAAAACAGGCCCCTGGCTGGCGTAGCTCAGTGGATTGAGCATGGGCTGCAAACCAAAGCATCGCAGGTTCGATTCCCAGCCAGGGCACATTCCTGGGTTGTAGGCCATGGCCCTCAGCAACCGCACATTGATGTTTCTCTCTCTCTCTCTCTCTCTCTCTCTCTCTCTCTCTCTCCCTCTCTCTTTCTCCCTCCCTTACCTCTCTAAAAATAAATAAATAAAATCTTAAAAAAAGTGAAAACATTAAAACCTTATTTTTAAACATTAACTAAGGAATATAATGTCTATATTTCTTAATAAGAGCCTTAACAAGCTAACTCCAGTCTCTCAATTTTTTTCTATTGTCTTTCAATAATGCCTCATATTCTAGCTACATTAAATGCCTCCATGCACTAAATACATTTTACTATAACATCTTATTTTTAATAAAGAAACAATTCATCTAATCTTTTATGCATGCTATCTACTTAGAATACTCTTTTCTACCACTCAGAGGCTGGGTAACTCCCTCTTGTTTTTCATGACCCAAGATTATTTCCCTCTGGTAGGCAAGCATCACTGTTTTCCTACCTTTGAAATCCCATAGCACTCCCCCTGCTTATTGTATAATAACTGTTAATTATATGTCTATATCCTTGTGAAGGAGGGAATGAGGTTCTACTACCAGATATATAACTCATGCTTTCATGAGTTTTATTTTATTATATTTTATTATATACAGCGATCCCTCACCTATCATGGGAGTTACATTCTAGAGACCCCCACGATAGGTGAAAATCCACAAAATAGTGGCATTATATTTATTCTGTTACTTACATATATTTTAAGGCTTTATAAACCCTTCCCACACTCCTATAAACTTTTCCTACTCTCTGATTAACATTTTCCACACTCTTATAAACACTTCATATGCTCTTAAACACTTTCTACAGTCTTAAACCTACATAATTTTAAAAACATATAAAATTCTATATGGCAACTCACCAGTGAAGTATTCAGTCATCCCTTGCTATACTGCGATATAACAAGGAACGACTGCACTTTATTTTTGAGGATACACACACACACACACACACACACACACGTGTGTGTGTGTGCCCATGTTTTATTTGGGCTTACACTGAGCTAAAAAAACAGACAAAATCTTGTATGTCTGGGGTTGGATCTCTGAAAAATCATTCATGGTGTCCATTAATTGAAAAAACAGAATGCGTTACAGAATTTAAACCCAAACTAAGAAGAAATCTAAGTAAAGCTTTGAGAAAAAGAGAAAAACATCTCATTCTTTTGATGGTGATTTTTGCATTATTGCTAGGAGATTGCTTCTGCCTAGAAATTTGTGTGGTGTTAATTTCCATATAGAGAGTGGACAGGAGTTAAGAAGTAAAAAGTAACAAGTATCTCAAATTCTTTGGAGCTAAAAGAGAACCAGTCTAGTTTGTAACTGAATTAATACGGGGCCCTCATGCTCTGAGAAAAAAATTAATTTTGGAAAATCATAAATGTACCTTTTTAAACAGCTTTTTGAGTTATAAATTATATACCCTAAATATTCACCCATTTTACATATGCACTTCAATGCTTTTAGTAACAGTATTGTACAATTATTACTACAGATTCAACTGAGAATGGTCCTATCCTATTTAATGAGATACTGAGTTGCTTTTTAGTCACAAATCCACAGCCATGAAGCCAAAACATGCTCAGAGGAGAAATTTTGACCTCCAGCTGCACTTAGAACCACAATGTTGTTCCCCCAAACACACACACACACACAGAACCAAAGTCAAGAATGTAACCCTGGAATTTGAAAACCAGTACTCTTTCAGAGGCAAAGGGTCCATTGCCAGGAAGATCCTATGCTGACTCCCATTTACCATAAATGAATGGCTAAATTCCAAGATCCTTCAATTAAAATTCACCCCACCAGCACTTCTGAATTCCCATTCCTCCAAACTCTTTAAACAGCTATTTCAGTGAATGAAATGGATTTGAAGCATTAGGAAATCCATCTTTTTGGTCAGTGCCTTCTCAATCAATGTTTTTCCTTATTTCAAACTCTGATTTTTTGTGATTTGGCCTTTTGAAGTATCAAACACATAAACTGGGGTTCAGTAATACAATCATTACCACTATCTAGTTTTAGGACATTAGCATCACCACAAAAATATTATATGTTTTCTGACTACTTGTGTCTAATCCCTGTTCATATCCCTAGTGCTAGACAGCCATTAATTTATTTTCTGTGTATAGATTTGCCTTTTTTGTACATTTCATGTAAGTGAAATAATAAAATAACCTTTTGCTATTGGCTTCTTTTACTTAGCATAATGTTTTTAAGCTTCATATTATAGCATGTATCAGTAGTTCACTCCTTTTTAATTGCTAAATTGTACCTCTTTGTCTGATATACCACACTTGTTTATCTTTTTACCAAATGGACATTCAAATTTTTTTACAACCTGGGGTTATTATAAATAATGCTGTTGTGAACATTCATGTACAAGTTCTTTGTACAAGTATTTGTACAGAACATGTATTTTCATTTTTTTCAAGTGGAGTCCTAGGAGTTGGAATCCTTGTCATACAGTAACTTTATTTTTAACTTTTTTTCAGTTCCTAAATTCTTAACTTGGTAAGTCTTTATTTAAAAATCTGATTGGCCAACTTAGTGTTTTCCACCAACATGAGGAGCAGAAACCTTCACACGCTTCACAATCTTTTGCTTAGGTGCTGCCTTTGTGGGAGCCTTAGCAGCAGCCATTGCTGTCTTTTTAGATGCTTGCTTAGCTTTTTTTGCATCCTTGGCAGCCCTGATAGCTTGTTCTTGTTGAGCTTTCCTAACTTCAGGTTTCTGATTCATCTTGGCCATTACATCAGCAAGAGATGCACCAGTGATGGCCCTCGGGAATTTGACTGCCCGGCGGGTTCTCTTCTTCTGAATTTCTTCCGACTGTCCCTTTTTGTGCTTTCTTCTGTAGAGGATGGTCCAGTTTATCTGTCGAGGATTCCTCTCGGAAAGGAACACTGACTCGCCTTTTGCATTAAGAAATTGGAAAACCTTCTTATCGGTCCTGGCGTAGCACCTCCCGTGTCCCGGGTAAATCTTGTACCCACTGAAACTGCACACCTCGACCTTCGTGGCTGCGGCGGCCGGGAAGAAGGAAAGATGGTGAAAAGCTATTAACTTTTTATGAAACATAAAATATTTTCCAAATGGAGTAATATCTTAAATTTTCACTGGCAGTTTATAAAAGTTACTGTTTCTCCCCATCCTCAATAGTGCTTATCTTATAAATTGTACCAGTTCTACAGAATGAAGTGGAAACACACTGTAGTTTTAATTTACATTTTCCTACTGACTAGTGTTTACCACTTTTTGGTGTGCTCATTAACAATTCTTATATTTTCTTTGGTAAAATTTATAATAGGATTTTTAATTTGTATCTTTTTTTTGCTGGTGGAAATGAGGCCGTTTCATGGAGTCTCAAGAAAAGCACTTCAGGGACCTGTGTATGGGAGGTTGTGGTATAATGGTAATGTTTATTGAAGCTGGAACAAACACAAAGGACTATTCTGGGTTCAGCTGCAGTGTCTCATCTCCATCTGTCCTACCATGGAAAAAATCCAGCTTTGTCTTCATAAAACTCAGAACAAAGGCCAAGGTTTAAAGGTTCTGTGCCATATTGAAGCTTAGTCCAGTTTAGTGCATATCACTACTCATCTGGCTAGTATAGTCTGTTCTCAGCTATATTCTGGTTGGTGCTGCTTTGCTGTACTCATGAAGCCCAGGACCCCAGGTAGCTGCTAGGGCTGCATGGTTGCTATGAAAAGAGAATGTGGGAGGGAACAAGGTGAGTGCATTTTACCAAATAAGAGAGAGAGGAAGAGAGAGGGAAAGGGGGCTGGGGGAGGGAGAGAGAGAGATTGATTCTTTATTAAGCTTGGGTTATATTACACCAGTGTTGGGAAAAACCAAGCACCCTTTCAAACTAGCCAATCAACTTCCTGATCTTTCATGACCTTCTGCTGGTTCCTCCCTCTAACTAATCAATTTTCTAGCTTCCAACGTTCTGTGTGATTTATCCAATCCAATCCTTTTCCTAGGCTAGACAAACAGGCCTTTACGGTCCATCTTAGTTCCTACTGACAATGCCTCATAGTAGAAGCACCTCCCCCTGTGCCATCTTCACTTCTATTGGGCATGCACCCAGCAGAAGAATTTCCTCATTATTGTTCTATTCCTCCAGCCCATAATCTGAGCAAATGGACCAGTTGTGCCCTAGAGATATTGGAAAGTTGATTCTTTCTTCCTTGTTGGGGAGGGAAGGTTGTTAATCCCCTTGGTGGGGAAATGAGGCAATCACCTGGGAAGTCTATGAATGCTGCAACTTCCTAGGAAAGCAGACCCACCATCCAATTCAGCTCCTCAGTTTATCATGCTTAATAATGTCTGATGCCCTTTCCTCTCTTTCTTTATTAATATGTAACTACCTAGGTTAACAGTTTTTCTTATAATTGAGGTGTTAGACTTCTTTATATATATCCTGGATAAAAGCATCTTACAAGATATGAGCTGGAAATGTTTCTTCCCACTCTGGGTCTTGTCTTTTCTTTTCTATTCTTTCCTTTTTTTGATGGTTTTTGTTGAACTATTTTAAGTGTTCATAATTTTCATAAAGTACAATTTATTATTTTTATGTTATAAAAGTTGCTAAAATATTTTTGCCCAACCCAGTGTCACAAACATTTTCTGGTATGTTTTCTTCTAAATGTTTTATAGTTTAAGCTCTTGCATTTAAACTACAATCCTTTATAGGTTAATTTTGTGTATAATGTGGTGTAAGAGTCTGTGGTATTAATAAATGTATTTGATTTTTGTCCTGATTCCTGACACAAAGCTCCCAAAGCTGTATGAATGTCCTGAGTCACAGGAGTGTCTTTTTTTTTTTTTTTTTAGTGTAAGAAACCACTTTTGAACACATACAAGTTTATGCTAATGAGATGACTGAGGGTGGGTCCCCTAGATAACCTTAGGATGGTGCTGGTCACCAGAACAACCAAGAGATTAGAAGGTTGGAACTTTTAGCCCTACTCAAGAGTTTCAAGGGCAGAGGAGAGGCTGGAGATTAAGCTCTATAAAAACTCTGGAACAATAAGATTCAATGATGTTCATGTTGGTAAACACATCCAAATGCTGGGAGGGTAATACACCCCAGTTTCATGGGATAGATAATTCTGAGTTTAAGGACCCTTCTGGACCTCAACCTATGTAACTCTTTATCAGATTTTCATCTTCATAATCCTCTAATTCATTCATATTATAGCATATAAAATACCCTATATTATGTTATAGTTTTTATTATCCTAAACTTGTAAGCATATGTAAATGCTTTTCTGAGCTTTGTGTGCCTTTCTAACAAAAGATGAAACCCAGGAGGAAATCCTGGGAAGCTCTGATTTTATAGCTCCTATTCCACCAAGCTACAAATTCTGCCATAGGAATATGTCTTTTGGACTAAACATGTGTGTGTTTTCCAAGTAGTCCTCCATTAATATTTTTAAAAGACTTTAAGAAATGCCAATTTGTGTCAGTTATACTAGGAAACAAATGAGGGAGTCTTTTGTACTATTTGAACCACAGTTATATTATGGAAGCATTTTGTGTACATCACAGTTATAGTACCTGCAGTTACAGAAATATGAGCAATCAAATGAAAGATAAAATTTAAGACACTGTATTGGAGCCATTGACCCGGAGCCTTTACCTATCCTGAGATTCTACTTTCTAAACCACAAGTTTTCAAATTAGGTTTTCCTAGAAGTGGTGAGAATCTATTGCAATTTCTTACTCAACTATTGATTTCTCAAGGAGCTCCATGGGCTTATATGGGGCTTAGTCATTTTATCATGGCCCTTTCTGTAGTGCCTGTCACATAGTAGCCTCTCAAGGAAAGATTGTTAAATAAATAACTGAATATGGCAAGAATTAATATCCAGTCTGAACATCTAATATATTCTTCATTGTATAAACACATTCTCAAGGGCTACTGAGGTAGGTAGTCAGAACATTACTGTATGAGAGGGCTATTATTTTTTAATTAATTTATTAAGTTCATCACTGTTTGATTTTCTGTATATCTAATTGTAGTTGTCAGGCTGTAATTTGTCCTTTTATCTTCTTATTAAGGTGCTGTGAACTTTCTTTTAACAGTAGAAATTTCGGCTCTGGCCAGTGTAGCTCAGTGGATTGAGCACAGGCCTACAAACCAAAGGGTCACTGGTCTGATTGCCAGTTAGAGCACATGCCTAGGTTGTATGCCAGGTGCCCAGTGTGGGGTACATAAGAGACAACCACACATTGATGTTTCTTTCCCTCTCTTTCTCCTTCATTTCCCCTCTCTCTAAAAATAAATAAATACAATATTTAAAGAAAAGAGTAGAAATTTCTAATTCACTATTATTTGGGAAACACTGCTATCTATCTTATGAGAAAAGTTAAAAGGCTCTCAGGGGGTCCAACCTGTGGCCTGCGGGCCACATGCATCCCAGAACGGATATGAATGCAACCCAACACAAAATTGTAAATTTACTTAAAACATTATGAGATTTTTTTGCGTGATTATGTGTCACAATGTATTAATGTGTGGCCCAAAACAAATTTCCTTCTTCCAGTGTGGCCCAGAGATGCCAAGAGGTTGGAAGTTGTATGATTTAATATTTCCTATATACATTTTTCTTACATCGTATAGTTGATAGTTGATGCTTGTCCACATCATACTGTTCATCAGATAGACTGAATTTTTCAATTTGTGTGTGTCATTGCTGATCCTTCTGAAACACATGTTATCATATGTCAGGTTACTTATTGAAGCAGGAAAGGGATCCATTGGAGAAAAGAATCCTAGAGCAATATTTGAGCAATCTCCTTAACGGAGTTTTTACATGTCTACAATTTTGTTTTTTTCTGCTGCTCTTGATAATTAAAAATGCTTATGACATATTAGCTGGTGCAACTTGAAATGTCATTTTCAACCTTCTGTAAATGATTATTTGGGGTTCTGAATAAGATATGAATTTCTTGGACAAAACAGTTAAACATTGTCCATCCATTTATGTACTGTTCATTTTATTTTATTGCAGAGAAGTCTGACTGGAACAGCTGTGCCCAGCTCTAGTCTCTAAAGGAACATTAGTTGCTACTCTGTGTGCTGTGTGCACCTGAAGAATTGAGAGGAGTATTTGAATTGGGAATGCCTTAAGTTATCAGATTCAAGTGAAGTATTAGATTATTGGTGAAAGAATCCAAATAGACTTGTTGGATTAGTTTTTTACTGATTCATTACAATGTAGAAAATATCCAACAGCATCAACACCAACAATAAAATACATGCTCCTGCTCTTAGATTTCAGAATCTATGCTATTGAAATGTTCTGAGTAGAGGTTGCACATTTCACACTCTGGCACCTTTTCACATCCTGGCACCTTTTTACCCCTTCAGCAACCAGAAAAGCATATTCAAAATATGTCAGCTGCTGGTCTATGTGAGTCTAACCCATTGTGAATATAATCCATTGTTGAGAAGACCTTGTCTTAGCCCCAATTATCCTTTGACTCAAAAAGTAGTTTCACTAATGCCCATCCATAAATGTTGGTAGATATTGACTTGTCCTGTGAACCACTTGACAGATACTTTTTTAAGGACAATGAAAAAGTCCTTAAAGTCATTCAAGCAAATGATGATGTAAATGGCATTTTTTAAGCTTGTGTTTCTCCAGAACAGTATTCTAAAGCACAATTGATTTTCAATATGCATGACTTTGCATATTGTTATTGCATATTTAATAACAAGGAATTGTTATTAAATATTTTAAAGTATCACACATATTTCAAGCTTTCTAAATCTTGCAATAGACCCTTATTCCTGTTTTCTCCATCTTATTTTTGTACTTATTTATTTCTTCCTAGAAAAATAAATAATTTTGTTTTTTATATCTTAATAGAACCATCACACCAACAAAGCAATAATTTTTAGTGATTTATAAATGTCTATAAAACTCATTCTTTGCAGTCATTGTTATAATGTATACTAGTCTTCTCACAGAATATATGAGAGGGATAAGAAACTATAAAATCTATGCCTAATAATGTCACGTTGTTATTAAAATATGTTTAGAATAGTAAATTAATAACAACATACT